AGGCCAGCCTATGTCTCACTTCCCCCAGCTTTCTTACAATTCTGGGCTCCAGAGGCTAAAAGCAGCACTGAGGACTACAGAAGCCTACCCACCAAGGCTATAGCAGTCTAGCCTGATCTTCCGTCAGACAACATGGCTCTCTCCATGGAAGGTGTAGAGGACAAGGTGATCATCACCCCCAAGTTATTGCCGAAGCTGCACTATGTTCTCCCAAGTCTATCAAGGACCAGAGTGGGTATCAACTCTGATGCCCCCATGTAGAGAGAGACATGGCTACTGCCTTTACAGGGACAGTGTCCTTCTCTGTTCTTAGGAGACTGATGTGACCTTCTGGCTTTACTGAGGGATGACTCTCACTACTGCTGGCTTTCCTGATCACACATTTGGCATCACTTACTCGTGACCCAAAATGTCCTACTTATGGCAAAGTGTCCGCTAGCCTGAGCAGTCATAACACAGGAAGAAATAGTAACAACCAAGGTGTCCCCTACATGATGTGGTGGCCAGGACTCAGATAGAATATCAGGTCTCCTGCTGGGGAACAGCCCTGCCATTTGGTGGTAGACAATCAGCATGATGCCAAAGAAAGTGGCTCAGGGAGGACTTTATGAACATCTGGGGTGCTAGCCTAAGACTAAAGCCGCCTCACGAAAGGCAGCCGGGCCAAGAATGTGCCAAAGCAGTCATGGAGCTCCCCCGTGTTCCCATCTCTCTACATGTCTGGCCTATACGCTAGTGGAGTAGAACACTGCAGTTGAAGCCTTGACTGCTAGTCTCCATGGAACAACACATGCACAGAAACAGGAGAGAGGGGGGAGACTCCGGAAACTTTAAGAAGGGAAAAGAAGGCCAGGCATTGAGTTTACAGGCTCATTGAAGAATGGAGGTCACCAGCCACTGTTAAGAACAACTGTGCATGGGCCGGGTGTTGGTGGCGCACGCCTTTAATCCCAGCACTTGGGAGGCAGAGGCAGGCGGATTTCTGAGTTTGAGGCCAGCCTGGTCTACAGAGTGAGTTCCAGGACAGTCAGGGCTACACAGAGAAACCCTGTCTCGAAAAAAACAAAAACAAAAAAAACAAAAAAACAACTGTGCATGAACTAAACCCCAAAAGTGCTACAGTCTCTCACTTAGTATTTCCCACCATGTGCACCACCAACCAGCCCAGCAGGGATGGAGAGCAGAACAAACCCTTAGCCAATGCACTCTGCTTCTGCTGCACTAGGAAAGCTTCCAATCCATCTCATTCTGTCACCAGTGGACACATTTGCTGTGTGGCAGGCACTGGGGCAGTGAGAAGGTGAGAGCACTACATCCTTGACCCCAGGCTTATTCTAAACTCAAGTGCCATAGAGGCCAAGGAAGCACCATAAATGCCAAAGAGGATCGATATAGCAATGCTGATGACCATCACAGTTACAGCTAATACTTACAAGTTCTGAAATACACAGCTTCCATCCCACTTACTCCAAACAGCAGCTCCATGAGGTTGACTGCAATATGGTTTCTCTCCACTGTACAGACAAGACCACTGGGGCATTGTGAGACAGTTACATACAGGAGGCCACACTGCTCAGGATCTGACCAGAGACAACGTGATCCGGAAACTTACACTCTTGGCCACATTACTCTGTTGAAAAATCGCAACTTCCAGAAAGAGGCGGCGGAAATGGCAGAGCCAATGTTCAGACATGGCCCAGGGTTGCCACCGGCCTGGGATTGCAGTCAACTGTGAGAATACAACAGCAGGAAGGCCACGGCAACACATACATGCAATCCCAGTGTCAGGGAGGCTAAGGCAGAAGGATCAGGAGTTCAAAGTTTAGCCTGAACCACCTAGAGAGACCCTGTCTCAAAACACAAACAAGCCAGGTGCTGGTGGTTCACGCCTTTAATCTTAGCATTCAGAAGGCAGAGGCAGTTGGATCTTGAACAGCCTGGTCTACAAAGTGAGTTTCAGGACAGCAAGGGCTACACAGAGAAACAGAAACAACAACAAACCTACAAACAAGTCAGCTTTGGTGTCACATACCAGTAGCAAATGCTGAAGGGGCTATGGCAGAAGGATCATAGTTTCAGGGCTAGCCTGGATTACCAAGGGCTATGGATGTAGCTCGTGGTAGAGCCCTT